TATATATATGCATATGTGTATGTATGTATGCTTATAAATGTATATGCACATGTATACAGACCTGTGTATATGTATAGGTATATATATATATGTACATATATATATATGTACATATATATATATATATGTATGTGTATATATATATTTATGTTAAATACGCGTATGTGTGCATGTATGTATGCATGCATGCATGTATGTATGTATGTACGTACGTATATACATATGTTTAAATGTTGATGTGTATACATGTATACATGTATATATTTGTATATGCATAGATGTATATACAGACATGTGTATATGTGTATGTATGTATGTATGTATGCATGTTTGTATGTATGTTAGTATGTATTTATGATTATGTTTGTATGTGTATATGTAAATATGTGTATTTGCATTTGTGTGTTTATGTATGTGTGTAAGTCTGTTTTGTCTGGGTTTATATCTATCTACTATATATATATATGTATATATATATATAGAGACCAAGGTAGATATTCGTCAATATTCGTATATATGCGTGTGTGTATGTACATATATGTGTTATGTGTGTGTGTGCACATACATACACACACACATGCGTAGGGAGATATATGCGTACCTGCATATTTACATGCATACATGTATACATGTATACATACATACATGCATACGCGCATGCATACATACATACATACATACATACATTCATACATACATACATACATACATACATACCTGTGTACTTGCATGCATGCAATTGAAAAACGAAGGCAGTTGTATACCACTGCATTTGTGACACTGCACAATGCATGCCTTCATGGGTTTCATTGTCTGAAAACTAGATCCGCCATCAGACATTCTGCACGTATCTTGCAAACCTTGAGAAGCGAAGATTTGGATCAGTGCATTATCTTCAGAGCTCATGTGCCAAACAGGGCTGCTGCGGGCTTACAAACCTGCAACACAGGCGTTTCGACAGAGATCCTTGGGGTTTTTAGGTCAATCTATTGCAAAGATATTGCGAACACTACGCTTCTGACAAATGCTTGAATCTGCGTTCCCTTCTGCCGCAGGACAGCCCGAGAAGAAAACTCTGGGAGCAGGAAGAGGAAGAGGAGGATGCCAGCGAGGCCTGATCTGATTCTTTGTCATGGTGTAGTCATCCCAGTGCGTCACCGGGCCCTCATGATACAAAAACGATGCAGGGCACGCTCGGAGGGGATCTGGTGCAAACCGTTCAAATCAGGCAAGGGACGCTTGAAGCAGACACTGCCCCCAGTGCTGCTGCAACTCGTTTCTTGTGAGGCAGCTTTCTCATTTAGCGCTTGCAGGTTTGTGTCAGCCTCAGTGGATCTCAGTGGGAGCATTGGGCGCTGCGCGTTGGCGCTCAATGGTTGTGATAACAAGACGTGGTCGTGATGAGGCAGCTTCTGATGAGAGCAGCTTTTGTGGGGTGGCGCGATCAGCAACAGCTGTCCGATGTACGATGCAAGGAGAATCTGCTGAAGGCAGAGCATGATGATCCGTGCCGTGAGCAAAAGTGCAAGCCGTTGTCATCATTCAGGCATGGAGTTCACATGGAGGGCGCCATTTGTCGTCGAGGCAAGTGCTCCGGATGGAAGCACGCTTAGTTGTGAACTGCTTTTGCTTAGTCGTAACGTAATTTTTGCCATGAGAAATTGCGATATGTGACCACTTGGGGTTTCCTAGAGGCTTCAAGCCTTGCAATTTACAGCATTAGGGAAGGTTTAGGGTCTAGAGAGAACTACCAGGGTGTCAGGTTGCACGCTAAGTTAAACACTGCCCCTGACTGAATGCGAGGGTCAAGATGTTTAGGGTTTCGGGTTTAGGGTGCATTCGCGTTAGGGTTTTAAAGGTTTAGGGTTTAGGGTTTATGGGGAGTTATGGAATTAGGGTTTAGGGGCTTTGGGGTTTAGGGTTTTGGGGTTTGTCAGTTTAGGGTTTAGGGTGCACGCTTAGTTGCCTGGCACACCCCCTCCCTCCTGCTGAAACGGCACGAACAGAAGCACGACGAAGCATGAACAAAGCTACGACTAAGCAAAAGAAAACTACGACTAACCCAGCTAATTACCCTCCGGATCTGTGGCTTTCGGACTCAGCTGCTAAAGCGCTGTGAGGCTGGCGCTGCTCTGCTGCAGAACTCTGTTCGGGATTTGGCGGCAGCTTGTCGTCGTTTCTCGAGGAAGGCCGGCATCACGGCTGGAGTTCTTGAAGAGAAAGGAGGGTAAGTATGTCTTGCCAGGCTTCATCATCTCTCTTTGGGCCAGGCAGGACGTGTCAACGGTTTTGCCTTGTTGGTCGAAGCTGCATGTTGGAAGGCACCTGGCTTCGTGAGACGGTCCTTGCGCCGGACTTCGGGACCGCAAATCCGTGCGGAGCCGCGAGGGTTTGAGCCCTGTTGGCTTTCCGTGTCGAAGGAGCACTGCAGCTTCTCGAGCGCTCGCGCGAGCGTGTCTGGCTGCTTGGCTTTGCTCGAGCCTCAGGGTTGCTGTTGTAACGAGAGGACCTTCCGCGACTGAGCACGAAGGTGCTGTCTCTGTGGTCTAGTCTGCGGTGACGGCTTGTGCCAAGGCCCAGAGAAGTCCTAGCGACACAGAGTTGTTCGTTGCACAGCGGGTGTTCGTCGCACAGCACATGAGCCGGGGCCTGGCCCATGACATGAGATCTCGTGGAGTGCCAATGGATTTCATGCTCCGGTTGGCCTCATCCATACATTTCAGTAATCAGTAATCTCACACACACATGTATATATATATATACATACACAGACATGAGCATACACATAAATAAGCATAGATATATCTAAAAAGTTGGATGGTATTTCACCCAGGATTCCGGGCTTGAGTTTGTTGTGAGTTCAGGGTTCAGAATTTGGAATTGGGCGCTTAAGAGAGTTTAGAGTTTAGCGCGTAGAGTTCCGAGGGGCGCAGTATGTAGAGGCTTTATGGTCCGGGCTTTCACTTCCTCTGAAATCTAAACCCCAAAACTTAAAACCTCATCCGTTGTTTGTTTCAGGGCTGGGGCGGTGAGGCTTATAAGGATCCTGGTGAGCAGCTTATGTTAAGTGCCTCCGCACTATAGAGCAGAATTTCCATTTTAGTGGCAAGCATCGCATATATTGACTAGGAAAAGGCTCTCTCTCCTTGCTGCGTTAGCAAGGCACCGTTTGCGTTTTGGATAACAGGCTCAGGCTTCGAAGGTGTGGAAGGGAAGGTGGGCAGGCAGTGCAGTTTCCGCAAGGCACACACACAGGAGAGGGTGGGAGGATGCACTGTGAAAAGCTCGAACTGTGTGGGAAGCAGGATGAGTCTGATTGATATCTAGCGTGCAGCAGCAAGCTATCTATGCAGCAGGCTCCGGTTTCTTTACAGTCTTTATGAGGTGCACAAGCACGGCGACGGAAAACTGTGCAGTAAACTGTTGTGCATGCGTCATTTTAAGAGAAAGAAGTGAACGACAAGAAATGTAGTGAGTATGTGCTTTATGCATGTTAAAAGTGCGCACCTGAACGACAAGAGATAGAAAACACTGTACGGATTTGATGAACGAAGAAAGACACACCAAAAACACGTGAATGTAATGCTGGCCTTCCTTCTTTCATCATTTCGCACGCGACAAAGACTGCGACAATGAAATGAACAGCAGAAGCACGCCTTTCATTTTTGGTGTTTTCATTATCAATCCATTTAGGCTCTTTGGGTTCTGCTTGCCTTCCGTTTAAACCCATTGAACCCCATTCTTCATCCCTAAACCCGAATCTCGACAGCCTAAGCCCTGAAGCCAACACCCCAAAGCTGTTCAGGGTGTTAGGGCCCGTTATACAGTCCCTCAAGACTCCTCTGAAAGCCACGTATATAAACCTGAAAGGCCCTAGCCCCCTAAACTTTAAACCCTAAATTCCAAACCGCAAACGCGCAAATCGAGAAGTGTAACAAGTCAAAAGCAAGCCGCAAGCCGCAAACTTTCAACCCCAAACCGAAGAAGCCGAGGCTTGACGATGATGCGCCTCTTCCCACGGCAA